TTCTATTTATCCCAGGTAGAGTTTTTTCTTACATATCTTTGAAAAAATTGAGGCAATCTTATACTTGTAGACAAATTTCAAGTATAGCACAAGTACAGAACAGATAACATATTTGTCTGAATCATTTGAAAGTTAATTGCAAACCTGATGCCCAATCACCCCCAATACTTCAGTGTGTACTCTGTACAATCAGGGACATTCTCCTGTATCACTATAAAATAACCATCAAAATCAGCAAGGTAATATTATTGTTCTCATTTATTCCTCAGATCCCATTTAGGTTTTTCCAACTCACAAAGTATGTCCTTTATTGTAAACCTTTCCAATTGAGAATCACTTGTTGCATATATTCATCATGTCTTTTTAGTCTCTTTCAATCTGAAAGAGTTCCTCAGTCTTTAACTTTCATGACCTTGACACTTTTGAAGGTATTTTGTAGAATATTCCTCAATCTGGCTTTTTCTGATGTTACTCAGGATTAGATTCAGGTTGTGCATCTTTAGCTGGAACCTCAAAGAAACAGTGTTGTGGTCTTCTCTCAGGGTCACATGATTTTGATTTGTCCCGTTAATGATCTGTTAACTTTGATCACTTGACTAAGATGCTGTCTGTCAGGCTTCATCAATGTGGTTTACTCTTTTTCCCTATTTAATTAATAAGTATTTCATGGGGAAGCTCTTTAAGACTATGGCAATAGCCCATTCCATATGAAACTTTATCTATTTATTTATTTATATCAGTGAGGGACTCAGGGTTTCCTATTTTATTCAGTGAGTATAATTCATTCTTCTCACTGTTAATTTTGATGCTTGAATTGTCCCAGATTTACCCAGTGATAGCCCCTTCAACCAGGCTTCTGTGTCCTTTTGACACCTTCTCCTCAATTGTTTAGCCCTGTCTTCCTTTCTGTCCCAGTTATGTATTTCATCTTCTTTGTTCAATCAACATTTCAGATCATTTAGATTACTTTGAATCTTGATGATTCTGCTTATTAATATTCCTCCCAGATAATAAGCATCTTTTCTGTTTCTTTATTCAAGTTATGGATAATATTGATCAATGAGTTGGGGCCAAAGTAAGAGTTCTGTTGTGCTGCTCTAGAAACTACCTTTCAGATCATGGATGCTCAACTAATTAATCAGGACTTCATAGTATATTTTGAATAATTGTCTGATTGCTCTTTACACTAGTTGCTGCTGCCAAGTCAAAGTCACTATCAAGCCATGTCCTCCACTGTAGTTCTTCCGTCTATTCCAACCATCGCCTTCCTGATAATAAAGGATCTGTTGAGATTCTAGATGCAAGGGAAAAGAGAAGAGCAGAACCAGTAATGCTGTTGGCCACTCAGAGGCCTGACTGACAGTGCTGCCTCCATCCTCACCTGAATCCAGGGCTCAGAGAACTCGTACTTGCAGGTCACCTCCACTGCTACTAGGATCTTTACGTAGAGCCCACTCAGTGATTTCAAAACTTTGAGGAGAGGAAATAAACTTAGTTCCTTTTCCACTTGGCATACAATATACACTCAGTAATATTGCTCATCTGAGCCAGTGAATGGATATGTAAGATTAATGCAGATCAATCAATCTAAACTTTAAACAAGTTTAATGGTAAATGTTGGCAGAGCCTATGAAGCCAAAAATCTGTATTCCAGTGTATCCCTCATGATTTACAGCTGTAGAACCTGGACAACCCACTCTGAGCTTCATTATCTTTTTTTGGTTAAATGGAATGAATAAATGGAACACACTTGACTGCTCCATAGAGTTGTAGGCCAGAGGAGGTATAATGTAAATGAAAATTTTCTGTAAGCTATTAACTGCCATTAAAGTGTAAGATTATCATTCTTATCACCGATACACAGATACACAGTGCTGTCATACAGCTCATTTCCCACAAGGGCTTTTCACATGCTACATCATTTTCCTAAGCTGTTTACCTAATACTCATCCTTTAAAAAAAGAAATGAAGCTAACTTGGCAGGGATTTTCTTTTTGACTCTGCCTGCTTCATTTGGAAATGCTCAAATCATCTACTTTAAAAATTGTTCTCAAATTTTTCTGGAATCAGCATAAGCCTCACTGTCTGATTTACAGATCCTTTCTTTCTTTAACTTGAATGTTAGAACAGATTTACTTCTCAAGACTTCTGGCATCTTTTCTCTGCTCTTTGATTTTTCAAAAATTACTGATAGCGACTCTTAAAAAAGAGTACAGAGAACATCAGATTTAGTCCCTGTTGTTCAGGAATCTGCTTCACATCCACAAAATGAATATGAAGAATCCTATTTCTCATTGTTATAGTGAGGATTAAGTACAGTAAAGCATATGAAAGAGGTTTACAAAGTATAAAACTTTATATAAATATGTTAGCAACACATGATTCATTACTCTGGGATAATAATAGTCAGTAAACGCTATCATTTTTTTGAGTATTCTCTCCTCACCAGATTCTGTGCTCTCTTTTAATGCTCTGGAAACCAAATGTGTATTATTATCCCTATTTTACGGATGAGGAAACTGAGGATCAGGAGGGTTAAGTACTGCCCTATGTCGCACAGCTAGTAAGCAAAAAAAAAAAAAACCCAAACCCATTGCCGTTGAGTCAATTCTGACTCATAGCGACCCTATAGGAGAGAGTAGAGCTGCCCCATAGGGTTTCCAAGGAGCAGCTGATGGATTCAAACTGCCATTCTTTAGGTTAGCAGCCAGACACTTAACCACTATGCCACCAGGGCTCCAGCTAGTAAGCAGTGGAGCCAAATTCAAACCCAGGTCTGCCTGACTCCAGACCTATACCCTCCCAGGTCTGTCTGACTCCAGACCTATACCCTAATCCATGCCCCAGATTCTACCCCAAACTCCTTCCTATTACGAGAGGGTTGAACTTATTTAAGCAGGAGGTGCCCTGAAAATCTCTCATCTCTCTTCAGCTGCTGCCAACCCTTTTTATGTTGCTGGTTCTAAATTTTCCAGTTTGAAACATTCTACTTTCTGGAGTGACAGAAATCATAGTTGATTACTAGTTCAGAACTCTCTTATTTTTCTGCTAACACAATATACTGTCTACTGAAAGCAGCAGACTTCTCTTTTTTCCTTCTAACATTTTCTATATTTAACATGTTTTGTAATCCTTAGTTCCTTTAGCCATTACCACAAGATGAGAAAGTGACCAATTCAGTTAGAAAGGATTGAACTGGTAAAGTAGACATGTTGGCCAGGTATATATTCAGCAGGAGCCCTGGTGGAGCAGTCATTAGGAACTCAGCTCTGATTCCGACTCCTAGCAACCTTATAGGATAGAGTATGGTTTCCAAGGAGTGGCTGGTGGATTCAAACTGCCGACCTTTTGGTTCGCAGCTGTAGCTCTCAACCACTGCACCAGCAGTACTCCAAATCACTTTAGTTCCTACAAAACCATCTGTCTTAGTTATCTAGTGCTACTGTAACAGAAATACCACAACTGGCTGGCTTTAACAAACAGGAATTTATTCTCTCACAATTTAGGAGGCTGGAAGTCCAAATTCAGGACGCTGGCTCTAGGAGAAGGCTTTCTCTCTCTGTCCACTCTGGGGGAAGGTCATTGCCTCTTCAGCTTGTTTCCTGGTTCCTTGAAGATCTCCATGTGGTTTGGCATCTGTCTTTCCCCATCTTGGTTTACTTAATCTGCTCTTTTAATATTTTGTAAGAGATTCACTCAAGACAAACTCTACACCAATCCTGCCTCATTAACATAACAAAGACAACACATTTCCCAAATGGGATTATAACCACAGGCAGAGAGGTTAGGATTTACAACACATATTTTGGGGGGACACAATTCAATCCATAACACCATCACTGTCTTACTATAAGTGACACTTCTAGAGAACTCACAGGTGTATTATGCTTTCATTTGAACATTTAAAAATAAATTGAATTATTCACCAAAGATATGTATGACATGTCGGCCTTTCAGATTAAATCCATTTGGAAAAAGTTTTGGTTTGTTCTCAGTATTACTGTTTATGATTTGATTCCAAGAATATTTTAATATTTACCCTAACACTCTCTGCAATCTTCATTTTCTTAGAATTTCTATATTTTCTTTTTAAAAAGTCGTTTTGAACTTGTATAACAACTATAGAATCAATCCCTTTTAAAATGTCATGAACTAATAGGCACGTCTTGACCCAAATGAAAATTCATACACTTATGTGATAATAACTACTTCTAGAAAAAAATGTCCTTGGCAGAAATATCCTTATAAAAAGAACAAGGCCAGAAGTTAACGTTCACTTTAGTTTAATACAGAAAGGGTTACCACATTTCTTTCGACTATATTAGTAAGAAATTGTAATATAAAAGAAAGAGACACTGTGGGAAACATATGTGAGGACTCATTTCCTTCATACTTTTTAGGAGGATGTAATCCTTCATACTATCTTAAACATTTAATCTAAAATGGTTTTTCAAAAATAATGTATTGTGTAATCAGAAATATTTCCTTTCTCTTTACAGAGATTTAACAGTTTGGGGACTAAGTATGAAATATTGTCTGACAATAAATCAGGAGGTTTTTGTACATTTTTATGTGTATTTCCAGTACTACAAAATTAGCTTGAAATAAATGATCTCAGGACATGATTTAGGAGATAACGTGAGGTCCTCAGGCTGAGAAAATAATACTTTGATTCTCTATGATGTTTTCCTAATCCTGTTAATGTTCTGTATCACATAATTAAGAGATTAAAGTTTATTCAAATAAGAATTTCAGAAACACTTTGAAATAAGTGGTGAAATCTTAGTTTCAAAAGTACTGATTCAGATTTAAATATATTCCATGTATTAAATATGAAGTTAAGTAGAGTAGAACTTTTGAGTTAACAGCAGAAATAATTGATCATGTATTATTTGGGTAAAGTTTCTCTTCATAGAAACATTTAATTTAGGAATCAGCTTTTGTTTGTGTAGAACCTCTCTTTTATCCTGTATTGACAAAATTTTTGTTCTTTTGTCAAGGTATCAGATACACACGGGACTTCAACATTCTATCATAAGACCTACCCAACCCAATTGTTTACCTCTGGACAATGCAACCCTACCTCAGAAGCTGAAGGAGGTTGGATATTCAACACACATGGTTGGAAAATGGCACTTGGGTTTTTACAGAAAAGAGTGCATGCCCACCAAGAGAGGATTTGATACCTTTTTTGGTTCCCTCTTGGGAAGTGGCGATTACTATACGCATTACAAATGTGACAGTCCTGGGATGTGTGGCTATGATTTGTATGAAGATGATCATGCTGCCTGGGACTATGACAGTGGTGTATACTCCACACAAATGTACACTCAGAGAGTACAGCAAATCTTAGCTTCCCATAACCCCAGAAAACCTATATTTTTATATATTGCCTACCAAGCTGTTCACTCACCACTGCAAGCCCCTGGCCGGTATTTTGAGCACTACCGATCCATTATCAACATAAACAGGCGGAGGTATGCTGCCATGCTTGCCTGCTTAGATGAAGCAATCAACAACGTGACCCTGGCTCTGGAGACATATGGTTTCTATAACAACAGCATTATTATTTACTCTTCAGATAATGGTGGCCAGCCTACGGCAGGAGGAAGTAACTGGCCTCTCAGAGGTAGCAAAGGAACATATTGGGAAGGGGGGATCCGGGCTGTTGGCTTTGTGCACAGCCCACTTCTGAAAAACAAGGGAACAGTGTGTAAGGAACTTGTGCACATCACTGACTGGTATCCCACTCTGATTGCACTGGCTGAAGGACAGATTGATGAAGACATTCAACTGGATGGCTACGACATCTGGGAGACCATAAGTGAAGGCTTTCGTTCGCCCCGAGTGGATATTTTGCACAACATTGACCCGATATACACCAAGGCGAAAAATGGCTCGTTGGCAGCAGGCTATGGGATCTGGAACACCGCAATCCAGTCAGCCATCAGAGTGAAGCACTGGAAACTGCTGACGGGAAACCCTGGATACAGTGACTGGGTTCCCCCTCAGTCTTTCAGCAACCTGGGACCGAATCGGTGGCACAATGAGCGGATTACCTTGTCAACTGGCAAAAGTATATGGCTTTTCAACATCACAGCTGACCCCTATGAGAGAGTGGACCTATCTAACAGGTATCCTGGAATTGTGAAGCAGCTGCTACGGAGGCTCTCTCAGTTCAACAAAACTGCAGTACCTGTCAGGTACCCCCCTAAAGACCCTAGAAGTAACCCTCGGCTCAATGGAGGAGTCTGGGGACCCTGGTATAAAGAGGAACACAAGAAAAAGAAGCCAAGCAAAAAGAAAGCTGAGAAAAAGCAGAAAAAAAGTAAGACAAAGAAGAAGAAACAACAGAAAGCGGGCTCGTTTCTAAATTGTCATTCAGGTACTACTCGTGGATAAGAACAAATGTTTCCTGTGTTAAGTCAATTCTTAGACTTTCACCTGTTTTCTAGGCAAGCCAGCAAGTCTAGCTCAGTAATATCACTGCTGTAGCATCGGACGTGTTTTCGTGTCGTGCCACGCCAGAGACTTCTGCGACCCAGACACCCACATGGAGCACGGTTCTTCTCAGGTGCTAAAGGTGCTACTCGTGTGAGCCACACTTGGAGGAGGGTGGAGGTGCTTATTTCTCTTGCTCTTTTATAAAAGGTGGTCCATAATGAGTTCAACTGCTGTGCTTCAGTTAACTGACCAGATACAATGCTTTAACTTATAAGAGGGGACCAGAACCTACAAGGGATGAGCATGCTAATTTGATGGACATTACAGGGTAGCATGATTAAAAACTGTCTTTAGTGAAGTATAGTCAAAAGTTTCAATCACCTCAAAGGCCTTGAAAACTATATTTTCTTAGTGAATTTTTGAATCTCTGTCATATGATTTAAAAAAGTGTCAGCTGTTCTCACATGTGAACAGCTTGCACCTCATTTTTTCATGCATGAGAAAATGGCAAATAAGAATGTTTGAGCACACTGCCAAAAAATGAATGTAACTATTTTCTAAACACTTTAATAGAATGGCATTTCAGCACAGACTACATAATTTATTTTTACAGAAAAAAAATTATTTTGTTATAAAAAGTTATGTAAAATGACTTTTTATTATTTTATTCCTCTTTTCTGCATACCATTAAAGTTTTATTTCATGTCTTCAAGATTACCAAACACTGTAAAGCTATAAATTACTGTAACACTGTGTGAAATCGTATACTATAAAAATTATTCAGAAAAAAATTACAGTCATCATTGTTCAGCCATTACTTTGAATGTAATATGATGAATACTTCCCTTACTAATTATTTGGAAATTCAGTATTTGTACAGAGCTGAGACAACTTTATTGTTTCTATCATAAACACTTTATTTATGTATCTATTAAATTTATTTTATGGCACTAGCAAATTTAGTCTGGCTTTTCTGATCTAATGTCTAGATAAAATTATATTATTCATCTTAACAAACAGCAGTCTTTGTAAATAGGAAATTGAAGGTATGGTGTGCTAACCTCAGTAGGATAATTTAGACTTTGCAAATAAGAGATGTGTTTCCCTTTGGCTACTGCATGGAGAAAGATGTTCACTTGTTATTAGTAAGTAACATTTATAGTGACCCTACTCATATACCAAGTGAACACTGTAGGGAGATACAGAGAATGGAAGATAAGGATCCTGCCTGGAGTAGTTAAATATCTAGTTTGGGAACTCACACATGAAAACATCATGAGGAGGGTTCAAGGAACATTAGCTGTAATGAAGTTTGTTAAGGGTCATCAGCGAGTATAGACTGATGTGGTTCCTGTTGGCCCTAAAGTTTCTTTTGTAATACCTTCTCCTAATAAAAGGAACAGAGCTTCTAAGTCTCACAGTTTACACTTGAAAAATCACAGATAGCGAGAACTGTGATCTGTTAAGTTACAGCTGTTATAAGAAAATGTACAAAGTGCTGTGACAGCATGACATTAAATATGTTTCTATCAGAACACAAAGGGCTACCTTTGACAGTTTATGAAAATCTGTCAAAGAATCTGTAACCTATTACTGAGACAACTAAAATGAACAAAATGATTTAAAAATTATTTTAATTTTAATATTTTACTTCCAGAATATATACTTCCATTTTATTATGTAGTATAAAGTAGTATCTCCTGAAGTTTGTGTTCCGTTGGCTGTACATTTTAAATGAGTCTTAAAAATCAAAGGCATATCGTCAGTGTATTTTTCTTTTCTTATCAAACCCAGCAATACCTTGGAAGAAAAAGCCTAGCAATCTGCTTCTGTTAAGATTACAGCCAAGAAAACCCTATGGAGCAACTCTCTGTTACCCATGGAGTCGCCATGAGTAGGAATCGACTCCACAGAAGCTAACAACAGCAACAGTAGCACATAGAATAATGATGTGACTTACAATAGCTAATACCTTATAAATTAGAAAAGGTAGAGTAATTGTGACATTAAAAGAAGAGTTTTGAGGAAAAACAAGTTTGGGAAATGCTGAGTTAAATAAAGTTAAAAGTGAGTTAAAGTCAATGCAGACTCTCAGAGTTTTTAAAACCCCAGTTTCCATTGTAAATATCTAACAGAAGGAAAATTATACACAGGGTTTTCTCATTTGTTATGCCATAAAACCCTTCTCTGTACCACACTGCACAGGACTAGAGTTCTGTGGAACAGACTTGGAAAAATGCTTGTGTAAACATATAATCTTCTAGAAGTTTTTAGCAGGACAAAAAAGGACAAAGCGTTACAAAAAGTTACTCATATTTGAACCCAGTAGGCATTACTGAATATGATGTGATTTTAAGTTCATTATAAATACCCATAACTTTCTCAATGAAAATAAATCTGTCTGCAGTTTTCTACCAGGAAATTGTTGCATGGATATTGATTAGTGTTTTAAAAAAAGAGTACCTGCCACCTACATAGGGCACTGAGTTGGCTGTGGCTTAAGTCTTAGGTTTCCTGCCTTCAAGAAGCTAAAAATCTAATATACTAGTCATGTAAAAATAATACACAAAACTGTTTCTAAAATGCTATCAAGCCAATCATTAAGTATTTCAAGATGGCCAGGAAGGAAAACACTGTTACTGGATTTTTTTGCCCTAAACGCTGAAACTATGTTAACATTGAACATTTATTCTCAAGTATCTTTCTTCTAAATTGTGATCCTCAGGTTACATTTCTAGAGCCATCTGTGGCTCTTTCAGATGTAAGTGGCATCTTTTTTAGACCTCGGATTATTAATATAAAAAAGGAAACTCCAGTATTGAAAAAGATGTATCCTAGTAGTTTTTGAAAAAATAATTTGTCTGGAATATGAAAAGATATGAACATTTTTTCTCAAATTTAAAAAAAACTTTGGACCTAAATATAAAGCCAAAAAATATAAAGTTCATAGAAGAAAAAATAGGGCCAATGCTACAGGCCTTAATACACGGCATTAACAGGATACAAACCATAACCATCGACACACAAACCCCAGAAGATAAGCTAGATAACTGGGATCTTCTAAAAATCAAAAAAACCTATGCTCTTCAAAAGACTTCGCCAGAAGAGTAAAAAGAGAACCTACAGACTGGGAAAAAATTTTGGGACAAGTCAGACAAAGGTCTATCTCCATAATCTACAAGAAAATCCAACACCTCTACAACAAAAAGACAAATAATCCTATTAAAAAATGGGCAAAGGAAATGAACAGACACTTCACCA